CCATAGATCTGAGTTTTTGAATATCTTGACATCGGTGACTGACCCAGGCCAGCCCAGTTTCAAACAATGTGAATCGTTTCCCACCCACCCTTCAATTGATGTGTGTTGTGGGAGCCCCCAGTTCGAACCCAGGTCCAGTTATGGTGTGGCTTTCAATTCAATCTTTTTTTCTTCTCATGCATTTTCTACATAAAAAAATTGGGGCATACATACAGGTATTATACAGCCCATAACCCATGATAATAAGACCTGGTGGTGAAATGTATCACACCCACCCTAGTTGAATGGGCCCCAATGGGCTATTTGTGAGGGTTCCCGGTTCGAATCTGGGTCAGGTTATAGTTCCTTCCTCTGTTATTTTTGCTCTGTCCCATGTATTTTTGCCTCCAAAAAGTCAGGTATAAATACACCTTATGAGAGGAGGTAGGAAGACCTGGTGGTGAAATGAATCACACCCATTCTGTGTCAGAGAATTCTAAATGCATTTTGTGGGAATCCCCAGTTCAAATCTGGGTCTGGTCATTCTTTTGCTTTCATCTCCCCAATTTTTTTGCCTCTCATGCATTTTTGCCTCCGAAGTCTAGTATAAATACACCTCGTGAAGAGGGGGAACATGACCTGGTGGTGAAATGTATCACACCCACTCTACTTGCATTTGGTGTACTGTGATAATTTGTGGGAATCCCTGGTTCGAATCCAGGTCATTCTTTTTTGCTTTCAATTTAATCTTTTTTTTCCCGTGCATTTTTTCGCCATTCAAAAAGTGTAGTATAAATACAGCCTATTGCGGGAGGTAGGAAGACCTGGTGGTGAAATGAATCACGCCCACTCTGCCTACATCACCAAACTCGTTGTTGTGGAAATCCCTGGTTCGAATCCAGGCCAGGCCATGCAGTTTTTCTCAATGATCTTTTCTACCCATTTTTATGTCTTTTTTTACAACAGAAACTCTGTATAAATACACCTTTGAAAAGGAGGGGATAAGACCTGGTGGTGAAATGGATCACACCTACTTTGTTTGGCACAGCTATGAAAATAGTGTTTGTTGGAGTCCCTGGTTCAAATTCAGGCTAGGCCATACTTTTTTTCTTCTGTTTAAATTCGATTATTTGATTATTTGACATCTCGGACTGACACATACTCAGGACTGCCATATTCCAGTACCCTTTTTTTTTTGGTTTATTTTATTTTCCATAAAGAATTGTGGTCAAGTTGGCTGAAAGTCAGTATAAATACACCTTGTTAGAGTGGGGATAATGACCTGGTGGTGAAATGTATCACACCCACTCTGCCTATGGTTGTTGCAATTGCCTGCCGTGGGAGTCCTTGGTTCGAGTCCAGGTCAGGTCATGTTCCTTCTCATCCATTCTTTTTTCTCGCTCAGTTTTTACGACAAAAAGTCTAGTATAAATACACCTGTCATGATTTGGCATACTCGCAACATTTTTCACTCAAACTACCCCGGGTTATCACAAGCAACAAGATTGGCAAATATGTTATATTTGCAATCTAGAACAAGACAACACATACGGAATAACCAACAGGGGGTTATTCATATTTGCTTGAGGCGATCGGGTCCGCAATAACCAACCAGGGGTTATTCAAACGACGATCAGGATACCCCGATCGCCAAGATCGAACATCTAGGAGCGTTTGTTATTTCACAAAGAGACAACCATCAGTTTCACAAGATGCAGTATATAAAACCCCGTAGAATCTACATGTACTTTAGATTCTACCTCGTCTAATATCAAGTCTACTTTGACCTGACAACGGCGCAGCACTCTCTCACCACGACTACGCACGACACTCGTATACATATCATCTTCTCCTCGAGTTACCCTCGAGTTCGGTGACCAGGCGGTTACTCTGCTGCCTCTTCCAAGTCTCACAACACTTCACCTCAACAGCTACAGCCAAACTTCCCCAGTAGAGCCGGGTTGTTCAGCGCTGCCCTCTCGTTGTCAGCCGCGATCACTTCAGACCGGGTTATTCGACTATCGTCCTGGCCAGGTTATTCACTGTCCCGCCACAGCCAGGTCAACCCAGGGCTTGTCTTGACAACACCTTTGAAAAGGAGGTAGGAAGACCTGGTAGTGAAAGGCATCACATCCACACTGCTTAAAATATTGTTGACATATGTATTTGTGGGAGTTCCCAGTTCGAGTCTAGGCCAGGTCATTTTTTTTGCTCTCAATTTAATCTTTTTTTCCCCATGCATTTTGCAGCAAGAATGGCTGGTATAATACACCTTTGAAAGGGAAGGGAATATGACCTGGTGGTGAAATGAATCATGCCTGTTTGCCTTATCGGATTGGTATTTATGGGAGGTCTCCAGTTTGAATCCGGGCCAGGTCATTGTCATTCTTGGTGGCATTTTTTTTTCTTGTGCATTTTTTCCCTCCGAAAAGTGTAGTATAAATACACCTTCTAGAGAGGGGGAATATGACCTGGTGGTGAAATGTATCACGCCTGCTTTGCCTGCCATGACTGAAAGAGAGATATTTGCAGGGGTCCCCGGTTCGAGTCCAGGCCAGGTCATAGGCCATTTGATCAGGAACCTTTTTTGTCTTCCACTCATTTTACAGCAAGAAAGTCTAGTATAAATACAGTTCATCACCCATGATAATAAGACCTGGTGGTGAACCACATCACACCTACTTTGCCTGGCGGGGCATGTAATATCTGTATTTGTGGGAATCCCTGGTTCGAATCCAGGTCAGGTCATTACAGGAGATCCCGAAAATAATGACAATCACGAGATTTTTTTTTTTGCGCTTCCCAAAAAGGAAATCCTCGTGTATCGTTTCTTTCTGCCTCTTCTCTCACCGTAGTCGCTCGAATTACGCAGGAATGTGCCTGGCTGAGGCCGTAGGACACCCAGGCATGCATGTTGGCCATATTTTGGCTCCCGAATCGACCCAACAACTCATTCTGTCGTTCGATCCCTGCTTTCCTTATCTGCGCCCATCCTCTTCTTTACATGTTTCACGGAGACAAGAGCCTGTGTCATTACAGAACCTATATGCACACAAGCCACATGACCCCGCACATAAATTTTGGGCGGAGATTGGGTAGAGCGGGAAACTTTGTCCACCACTGAAGACTGCAGAATTTCGGAAGTAATGTGTGTCTTGGGGTTCGTCTAATGCGTTCCACCTCCTCACCTCCTGCCATCGTCTCCCAGCAGTTATTATGATTTGAATCTCGTCCGAGCCTCGCCACTGCCCGACATACGTTTCCCAGCGCAATGAGTGTTGAATGTTGGCTGTTTGTCCTACAGTTTCGGGCTCTTTGGCCGTGCCTCGCATTCACCCTCCTTTGAGTTGCGCAGGGCCTTGGCATCGACTACCTGTATTTTGGGCATGCCTGTGTCAACTCGACCTCCCTCTCGCTGGCCGGTGCCTTTGCTGGTCAACAACAGATGTGCATATGCTACTTTGCAGCACACGCATTGCGTGCCTAGACATTGGTGTCCATTACGAGACTCGGTGTCCGCCCTCGTTCTACTCATACTTGGACTCGGATGCTGTCAATCCGTCTTTGCTGTGGCTCCTAGCTCCTACCATCCTCCTGCTCTAGCATTCCCCCGGCATCGTCGAGTGGTCTGTGCAGCGCATCAAGAGCATCATGCTCCCCGCACCATCCACCAAGTCCACCAATCCAGCAGGCACCAGTGCGGGCACGACGGAAGAGTGGATGCTGCACGCAAAGGGATTGAGGGTGAGTGGCGCATGTGGTGCTGGCGCCGTGGCTGTTGTGGATAGACTCAAAAGACTGTCTGCACAGCTCAGTAGGCCCGTATCAACCCCGGCGGACGTTGACGCCCCCGCTGCAGACCTCTGCTGCTCTCGGACCCAGCGGGTTGAAGCCACAGGACATGCTCTCGTAGCACAGACGTTATGCCTCGTGGAATCCATTCGTGAGATGTTGCTGCATGTCCCTCAATCTCGACGCTGCTCGCCCTTCACAGCTCTTCTATCCCGCTAGCGTAGGACTCGCACCGGGTCCCTGCCATAAACTTGATGCCCGCAGAATCATGGGGAGGATGCAGTGGTGTCTCGACTGCCGAAGAAAGTGACGCAGTGGCGCCGTCGCCTACAATGACGCCTCATGGATAACGAAGCATCTCTGTGCGGTAACTTACTTGCTTGCTTGTCATACTTAGAGCATGAATGAATGATCTCTTCATGGGTAAAATACACCAGAAACGTTACAATAGTACAGGCGAAGCTTTCACAGCCTCATAATATGTTGCAAAAGGTGTGCAGCTGCAGAAACGGCCAAAGGAGGGAAAGATACGCTCATTTCTTTTTGGGAAGCGCCAAAAAAAAAAATCTCGTGATGTCATTATTTTCGGGATCTCCTGTAATACTGCATTACTTTCAATGTAACCTTTTTTTCCCATGCTGTTTTTACAGCAAAAAGTCTAGTATAAATACACCTTGGTAAGAGGGATAACAAGACCTGGTGGTGAAAGGCGTCACACCCACTCTACTTGCATTTGGTGTATTGTGATAATTTGTGGGAATCCCTGGGTCGAATCTGGGCCAGGTCATTCATCGTTTGCTTTCCATTTAATCTTTTTTTGCCATGCATTTACAGCAAGAAAGTCTAGTATAAATACACCTCGTGAAAAGAGGAATATGACCTGGTGGTGAAATGAATCACACCTGCCGTAGTTGAAATGGATCAATGCATTTGTGGGAATCCCCGGTTCGAGCCCGGGCCAGTCATGGAGTTGGTTTCAATTTAATCTTTTTTTCCTTCAGTTTTTACGACAAAAGTCTAGTATAAATACAGCACATTAAGAGGGGGAGTGTGACCTGTGGTGAAATTATCACACCCATTCCACTTCTGATTTGAGGTGCACGAGGTTTTATGGGAGTCCTGGTTCGAATCTGGGTCAGGTCATTGATTATTCCTTTCCTTTAACTTTTTTTTCCCGTGCATTTTACAGCAAAATCTAGTATAAATACACCTTTGAAAGGGAGGGATAAGACCTGGTGGTGAAATGTATTATACCCATCACAGTTATATGTTCATAGGAAAATTGTTTGTGGGAATCCCTGGTTTGAATCCGGGCCAGGTCATAATTTATATCATTGACTGTTTTTGTACCCATTTATTTTTTACTTTCAAAACTCTGTATAAATACACCTTCTAAAGAGGGGCAATAAGACCTGGTGAAATGAATCACATCCACCCTATTAAATCCAATTTGTTACCATTGATTTGTGGGAATCCCAGTTCAAATCTGGGCTAGGTCATCCTTTTTTGCTTTGCTTTCAATTTAATCTTTTTTTCCTTTAGTTTTTACGACAAAAAGTCAGTATAAATACACCTTTGAAAGGGAGGTAGGAAGACCTGGTGGTGAAATGTATCACACCTGTTTGCCTTATTGGATTGGCGCTCGTTGTATTTATGGGAGGTCCCCAGTTCGAGTCTGGGCCAGGTCATTCATCGGTTCCGGTGCTTTTTTTTTTCTTGTGCATTTTTTGCCTCCAAAATTCTAGTATAAATACACCTTTGAAAGGGAGGTAGGAAGACCCGGTGGTGAAGGCATCAACCCACTTTATCTCTGTCGACAATATGAATACTTTGTGTGGGGGTCCCCAGTTCAAATCCGGGCCAGGTCATAGTTCGTCTCTCAGTTATTTTTCCCTTCCATGTATTTTTGCCTCCAAAAAGTCATGTATAAATTCATATGGCCTCCGGGCACCCTGGTACCGCTGACCTGTCCTGTACCTCCTAGCTAGTTGCCTTCTGGAGGAAATCCAGCAATCAGGACAGTGATAATATTTCTGGGACACCATATCTATGGCGGTCAATCTGCACATTTAATATTTTACGAGAATATATCGTGTTTACGTGAATTTTCAGGCCATTTGGGTCAACAGGAATGTCTTTGGAGATCCTGACCCCTATGTAATAGTTTCTGCTTGCCACGGGGGAAAAAACATTATAAGATTGAGTCTTGTTTGAGGAAAATGTTTACCTGACCAATTCTCACCGTAAGGTTAAATTTTTTTGAGCTTATATACACATATTTTTGGCTCGGATTGAAAATGTAAATATTTTTGTGGACATTTTCGAGGCATGTTTTTTTTGAATGTTTCACGTATATTTATTTTAGGAAGGTGGCAATGCTGTGGCTGTGTCAATCCGCATCTGCATTCAATCGGTGTTGGGACACAAGCTTATATATGGCGGTCAACTTGCACCTTTAATAAACAGGGTATAAACATCCAGTTTGGGTCACAACTTTGCTGATTTACGTGAAAAAGTTGAAATATAAAGTATTTTTAGAAAGTTCAAAAACATGTATAAACTTGTTCCGAAATAAAAAGATTTTTGCACACCCTATTGTTGCCAGGCAAAATATGAAGTTCAATGATTTTCAGAACAGTGGCTGTGCCAGCCGGCTAATGGCGGGTGGAAGCCATCGGGAGCGACGGAAGGGCAATCAGAGCCTCAGGGGATGTTCTCAACATCCATCAACACCTGATGCCTATGAGCAGCTGTGGAAGAGGTGCTCCACAGCTGCTCATAGGCATCAGCTCAACCCATTGATAGATGCTGAGGACCTTCTTGGGACCTCTGATCGCTGCATGACTGCCTGATGGCGGGTTGGCACAGCCACCATTCTGAAAATTTTGTTGGAACTTTATGCTTTGCGCAAGGATTATCTACAACTTTGAAAGAGAAGCTTTTATTCAGTTGAAAAAATTTCTATACTTGTTGAAGCCCTAAAAATATCTGTATCTTCAACTTTCATGGGGAATTCGGGCTATGTTTTGCTAAAAACAGGTGTTTATACCCCATTTTATTAAAGGTGCAAGTTGACCGCCATACAAGCTGGCTGACGCAAGTGACTTGGCTGCTTGACTATCAAAGTGTGACCACGTAGTAAGGTTAAGGTTATTCAAAGGAGAAAAAATATGTTGCCCAAAAAAAAAAAATGTGCAATGCAACAGAAAAATAATTTTGTTGATTTTTCTAAAAAATCAGTACAAAATTTTCTCTCAAGGTTAAAATATATATTCATTCAAGAGCCTCAAAAACATGTTGTCTGCCATGGGGTGGGAGAAAATTTAAATTGTGTGTGTGGACAGAATGGAAACATTTGGTGTCCCTAAAGATATTTCTGTTGACCCAAATGGCCTGAAAAATTCACGTAAACACAATATATTCTCGTAAATAATAAATGTGCAGATTGACCGCCATACATATCTAGGTTTTAGGGGTGCCTTTGAAATCAGCAGTTATTCTCGCAATGCCTATGTATCACGGATTGAACTCATTTTCCAGCACAGGTTGTTGCAGTAAATTATGTCCATAAAATCTCGTTTTATCTATTTATTCATTGCTGCGTTCCATTTCCTAATTGAACATGTGTGGGTGAGATATATATCAGGCAAAATCTTGTCCACCTTTTGCTGTTGGTAACACCCATCTGTGGAGGCAGATAATGGTATGTTGGATTAAGAAATACAACACAGCACTTTCCAATGTATGGGGATATGCAATTGCAACGCATACTTCTGACCTCAACCATTGAGAAAGTTCCGCATGTTTGCCAGGAGTAATAATTCAGGCAGCCTCGGTCCCGGGTCAATGGTCTGATGCTGAGAACAGCGGGCTGGGCTCACCCTCGCCCGAGCTTTGCTTGGCTCGAGTTCGTCCGTGGGCCCGGTTGCAAGGTTTACAGTGAGACGGTGATGCCGAAAAGCCGATTGTGGCAATCACCGAAATATTGGTAATCCATGATCTGGTAGTGATCTTGAGGACCACATTTAAAGGTTTTTCAGCCACCGACCTAGATCACGGTAATCACCGCAGGATTGGTAATCCATGATCTGGTAGTGATCTTGAGGACCGCATTTACGGAAGGGAGACCTGGAACCTAAAACGGTACCAGGAATATATCCTGTGAACATGAGGTAGGAAGGCCTGGTGGTGAAATGTATCACACCTACTCTGCCTATCTTCCCCACAGTACTCGGGTTTTGTAGGAGGTTCCTGGTTCAAACCCGGGTCAGGTCATCCTTTTTTGCCTTCAATTTAATCTTTTTTTCCCATTCATTTTTAACAACAAAAAAGTCAGTATAAATAACAGTAGGAGAAAAGACCTGGTGGTGAAAGGCATCATATCCACATTGCTTGGGGTGTCTGCTGAACAAGGTATTTGTGGGAGTCCCCGGTTCGAATCTGGGCCAGGTCATCCTTTTTTGCTTTCAATTTACTGTAATCTTTTTCTCTTTCAGTTTTTGCCTTTCAAAAATTCTAGCATAAATACACCTTCTAAAGAAGGGAAATAAGATCTGGTGGTGAAAGGCATCACATCCACAGTGCTTGGGATATGGTTGGAATAGTGTATTTGTGGGGGTCCCCAGTTCGAATCTGGGCCAGGTCATGTTCATTCTCATCCATTTTTTTTTTCTCACTCAGTTTTCACGACAAAAGTCAGTATAAATACACCTTGAGAAGGGAGGTAGAAAGACCTGGTGGTGAAATGAATCACACCTGCTTTGCCTCAACTGGCATAGATGTATGTACTCGTGGGAGTCCCCGGTTTGAATCTGGGTCAGGTCATGTTCATCCTCATCCATTCTTTTTTCTCGCTCAGTTTTTACGACAAAAAGTCTAGTATAAATATACCTTTGAAAGGGAGGTAAGAAGACCTGGTGGTGAAATGAATCATACCCATTCTCCTTGGTGCAAGAGGTTGGTGGGAGTCCCTGGTTCGAATCTGGGCCAGGTCATGTTTTTTGCTTTCAATTTAATCTTTTTTTCCCACTCGGTTTTTACGACAAGAAATGTCAAGTATAAATACACCTTGAGAAGAGGAGGAGTAATAACCTGGTGGTGAAATGAATCACACCCATTGTCGTTGAAAAAGAGCAACAACAACTTATTTGTGGGAGATTCCTGGTTCGAGTCCGGGTCAGGTCATTCTTTTTTGCTTTGCATGTAATCTTTTTCTCTTTCAGTTTTTTGCCTTTCAAAAAGTCTAGTATAAATACACCTTGGGAAGAGAGGGAACATGACCTGGTGGTGAAATGTATCACACCTGCTTTGCCTCCCATGGCCAACATCAAGGTATTTGTGGGAGTCCTCGGTTCGAATCTGGGTCAGGTCATTCTTGGGTGTGGTCCATTGTTTTTTTTTTGATTTAACCCAAATTTAACCTCGATTTTCCATGGCCACACGCATGCGCAAGACGTTCCGCGTCTGACTGGGTATTTAGATTGCAACATACAAGCCTCCCAACACCCTTATTCCTGTCCCATTAAAACACAGTCCAGAGTCCAGACCCCACTGCAATTGTGATTGTGATTGCGGGGCAGTTGAGTCGCCGACTCTCTCAATCAAATCAAATCTCAGAGTCAACACAAAGCTGCATCATCTCCGAGAATAATGCTGGTGCTAGCCTAGGATAATCACAGATAACGAGACTGTATAGGAACGAGATCTCCGTCGCAGTTGCCAAGTTGCCATTGATCCCATCACACATAGATTTATTTGATTCGGCCCAGAAAGTCCAGTATAAATACACCTTGTTGGAGTGGGAAATGTAACCTGGTAGTGAAATGTATCACACCTGCTCTGCCTCACTAAACTCGAAGTGTGTTTTGTGGGAGTCCCCGGTTTGAGTCCGGGCAAATTAAAGGTCATCCTTTATTGCTTTCACTTTAATATTTTTTTTCCCATGCATTTTTTGCTTTCAAAAACTCTGTAAATACACCTTGAGAAGGGAGGTAGAAAGACCTGGTGGTGAAATGCATCACACCCACTATCTATATACGTTGAAATCTTCTGTTGTGGGAATCCCTGGTTCGAGTCCGGGTCAGGTCATTCTTATTTGCTTTCAATTTAATCTTTTTTTCCTTCAGTTTTTACGACAAAATGTCTAGTATAAATACACCTTTGAAAGGGAGGCAGGAAAACCTGGTGGTGAAATGAATCACACCCACTCTACTTGCATTTGGTGTCAAATAATTTGCGGGAATCCCCGGTTCAAGTCTGGGTCAGGTCATCCTTTTTTGCCTTCAATTTAATTTAATTTTTTCCCATGCATTTTTTACGACAAAAAGTCTACACCTTTGTGAGAAGAGGGAATAAGACCTGGTGGTGAAAGGCATCACACCCACTCTCTATATACCTTGAAATCTTCTGTTGTGGGAATCCCTGGTTCGAATCCAGGTCAGGTCATTCCGCTGGTCGTTAAGTTTTTTATCCCATTCATTTTTTGCCTCGAAAAACTCGTGTATAAATACAGTAGATATAACCTAGAGAATATGACCTGGTGGTGAAATGCATCACACCTACTTTGCCTGGCGGGGCATGTAATATCTGTATTTGTGGGAATCCCTGGTTCGAATCCGGGCCAGGTCATTCATTTTTACTTATGGGCTTTTTTTCCCCTCCCATTCAATTTTGCCTCCAAAAATCAAGTATAAATACAGCCTATGAACATAGGGGAATATGACCTGGTGGTGGAGTGCATCACACCTGTTTGCCTTATCAGATTGCTGGTTGTTGTATTTATGGGAGTCCCTGGTTCAAGTCCAGGCCAGGTCATTCTTCGTTCTTGGTGTTATTATTTTATATTTTACAGCAAGAAAGTCCAGTATAAATACACCTTGTTAGAGTGGGGAATATGACCTGGTGGTGAAATGAATCACACCCACCCTTGTTGAAACAAACACCGATCAATGGTTTATTTGTGGGAATCCCTGGTTCGAGTCCAGGTCAGGTCATTAATACTGCATTACTTTCAATGTAACCTTTTTTTCCCCTGCATTTTTGCCTCCGAAAAGTCAGTATAAATACACCTTGTGAGAGGGGGAATATGACCTGGTGGTGAAATGAATCACACCTGTTTGCCTTATCGTATTGGTGGTTATTGTATTTACGGGAGGTCCCCGGTTCGAATCCGGGCCAGGTCATTCATCGGTTCCGGTGCTTTTTTTGCCTCCAAAAATTCTAGTATAAATACACCTTTGAAAGGGAGGTAGGAAGACCTGGTGGTGAAATGTATCATACCCACTCTGCCTATGCAAAGCTTGATGCCTTTGCAGGAGGTCCCCGGTTTGAGTCTGGGCCAGGTCATCCTTTTTTGCTTTGCATGTAATCTTTTTCTCTTTCAGTTTTTGCCTTTCAAAAATTCTAGTATAAATACACCTTGGGAAGAGAGGTGGGAAGACCTGGTGGTGAAATGTATCACACCTGCTTTGCCTGTGGCACTGCTATGTAGGACATGTATTTGTGGGGGTCCCTGGTTCGAGTCCGGGCCAGGTCATACTTTTTTCTTCTGTTCAAATTCGATTATTTGATTATTTGACATCTCGGACTGCCATATTCCAGTACCCTTATTTGGTTTATTTTATTTTATTGTATCTTCTGCAAAGAATTGTGGTCAAGTTGGCTGAAAGTCTAGTATAAATACACCTTCTAAAGAGGGATAATAAGATCTGGTGGTGAAATGTATCACACCCACTCTGCCTTACAGAACTGCCGACCAGTTTTGTGGGAATCCCCGGTTCGAACCCGGGCCAGGTCATTGATCATTCCCGTCCATTTTTTTTTCTCACTCAATTTTTTTGCCTCCAAAAAGTCAGGTATAAATATACCTTTGAAAGGTAGGAAGACTTGGTGGTGAAATGTATCACATCCACATTGCTTGGGTATTGTCGAAATAGTGTATATGTGGGGGTTCCTGGTTCGAGTCCGGGCCAGGTCATCCTTTCTTGCTTTGCATGTAATTTTTTTTCCCGTGCATTTTGCAGCAAGAATGGCTGGTATAAATACAGTTTATGAAAGTAGGTAGGAAGATCTGGTGGTGAAATGTATCACACCCACATTGCTTGGGTATTGTCGAAATAGTGCATTTGTGGGAGTCCCTGGTTCGAATCCAGGCCAGGTCATTCTTTTTTGCTCTCAATTTAGTCTTTTATCCTTCAGTTTTTGCGACAAAAAGTCTAGTATAAATATATCTTCTAAAGAGGGGAAATATGACCTAGTGGTGAAACGTATCACATCCACTTCACCTATCGATTCTGCCTATCAGGAGTTGTGGGAGTCCCTGGTTCAATCCAGGTCAGGTTATTATTTCTTCATTTCGAGCTTTTTTCCCATGCATTTTTTTCACCTTTCAAAAATTCTAATATAAATACACATCATGAACAGAGGTAGGAATAGGGATGGTCACGAGTCCGGGTCCAGGTATAAATCAGTCAACCCGGACCCTGACCGCAAAACCCAACCCCAACCCACGGGTCTACGGGTTGTCCACGGTTCCAAATTGATCGGATCAGACTGCCGAGGCTTGCCGGGCCATTCAACACCTTCAAACATGAAATGTGTCCAATAATTGAACTTTTGAGTGCATCAGGAGCTTAACAGAAGCTTGGAGTACAATTTATAGTGGTAGCACTTGAAATGACTTAAATCCAGAGAAAATCAAATATTGCAGACCCGTAGTGTACCCGCGGGTTTCAGGTCCACCAAAATTGTAACCCATACCCGTACCTGCGCTCACCCGACCCGGAAACCCACCGGGTTGACCTGTACCTGTGACCATCCCTAGGTAGGAAGACCTGGTGGTGAAATGTATCACACCCACTCTGCCTGTGCAAACCTTTGTGCATGTGCGGGAGGTCCCCAGGTCATCTTTTTTTGCTTTCAATTTAATCTTTTTTTCCGGTGCATTTTTACGACAAAAAGTCTAGCATAAATACACCTTCTAAAGAGGGGTAATAATGACCTGGTGGTGAAATGTATCACACCTGCTTTGCCTATTTTTGACATGCTGTTTTGTGGGAGTCCCCAGTTCGAATCTGGGCCAGGTCATTCTTTTGTCGTGTTCATATTTTTTTAAAACTGCATCCAAAAAGTCAGTATAAATACACCTTGATAAGGGAGGTAGAAAGACCTGGTGGTGAAATGAATCACACCCACTCTGCCTCGCTCAATTCTAAGTGAGTTTTATGGGAGTCCCTGGTTTGAATCCGGGCCAGGTCATTCATAGTATTTTTCATCCATTTTTTGCCTCCGAAAAAGTCAAGTATAAGTATATCTTGTTAGGGTGGGGAATAGGACCCTGGTGGTGAAATGTATCACATCCACATTGCTTGGTGTATTATCAAAATAGTGTATATGTGGGGGTTCCTGGTTCGAGTCTGGGCCAGGTCATCCTTTTTTGCTTTGCATGTAACTTTTTTTTCCACCCAATTTTTACAACAAAAAGTCAGTATAAATACAACCTATGAGAGAAGATAGGAAGATCTGGTGGTGAAATGAATCACACCCATTCCACTTCCGATTTGAGATGTAGCAGGTTTTATGGGAGTCCCTGGTTCGAGTCCGGGCCAGGTCATTCATAGTATTTCTCATCCATTTTTTTTCTCACCCAGTGTTTGCCTCCGAAAACTCTGTATAAGTACACCTTCTAAAGAGGGGGAACATGACCTGGTGGTGAAATGTATCATGTCCACTTTCCGTGAATTTGGTTGAATCCAGTTGTTGTGGGAGTCCCTGGTTCGAATCCAGGTCAGGTCATTCTGCTGGTCATTAAGTTTTTTATCCCATTCATTTTTTGCCTCGAAAAAATCTACATCTTGTTAGAGTGGGGAACATGACCTGGTGGTGAAATGTATCACACCCATTCCCCTTCCTGTTGAAATGTTTTCGATTTTATGGGAGTTCCTGGTTCAAATCCAGGTCAGGTCCTCCTTTTTTTCTTTCAATTTAATTTAATTTTTCCTTCAGTTTTTACGACAAAAATTCTAGTATAAATACACTTTTGAAAGAGAGACAGGAAGACCTGGTGGTGAAAGGCATCACATCCACATTGCTCAGAACATTGTTGAAATATGTATTTGTGGGAGTTCCTAGTTCGAATCCAGGCCAGGTCATCCTTTTTTGTTTTCAAGTTAATCTTTTTTTTTTATCCCCATGCATTTTTTTTGCCTCCGAAAAAGTCAAGTATAAGTATATCTTGTTAGGGTGGGGAATAAGACCTGGTGGTGAAATGTATCACATCCACTCTTACTATGACTTTGTTCGACAATGCATTTGAGGGGATCCCTGGTTCGAGTCTGGGCCAGGTCATTCTTCTTTAGTTTGGGTTTTTTTTCTCATGCATTTTACAGCAAGAAAGTCTAGTATACAGCCTATGAAAGGAGGGGAATATGACCTGGTGGTGAAATGAATCACATGTGATTTGCTTTCTGTGTTCCAAGTGTGTTTTGTGGGAATCCCTGGTTTGAACCCGGGCCAGGTCATCCTTTTTTTGCTTTCAATGTAACCTTTTTTCCCACCCACTCATTTTTGCCTCCAAAAAGTCTAGTATAAATACATCTTGTTAGAATGGGGAATATGGCCTGGTGGTGAAATGTATCACACCCACACTGCCCCACAGCACTTCCGATAGGTTTTGTGGGGGTCCCTGGTTCGAATCTGGGCCAGGTCATTCTTGGGTCTGTTCCAAATATATATTTTTGATTTAACCCAAATTTAACCTTGATTTTCCTTTCCACACGTAAGATGTTCCGCGTCTGACTGGGTATTTAGATTGCAACATACCACCCTCCCAACACCCTTATTCCTGTCCCACTAAAACACAGTCCAGAGTCCAGACCCACTCACTGCAATTGTGATTGCTCCAATTTTCGGAGCAGTTGAGTCGCTGACTCTACCTGAATCAAATCTCAATACAAAGTGCATCATCTCTGAGAATAACACTGGGGCTAGCATAAAAGGGCACAAAGGTGCAATCACAATCACAGATAACGAGACTGTATAGGAACGAGATCTCCGTCGCAGTTGCCAAGTTGCCATTGATCCCATCACACATATATTTATTTGATTCGGCCCCAGAAAGTCCAGTATATATACATTATATAATCTCTGGTAATAAGACCTGGTGGTGAAATGTATCACACCCACTCTTACTAACAGGTGATTCAATAATGTATTTGTGGGGGTCCCCTGTTCGAATCAGGGCCAGGTCATGGCGTTGTTTCATTTCGAGCTTTTTTTCTTCCCATGCATTTTTAACAACAAGAAAGTCAGTATAAATACAGCCCACAACCCATGATAATAAGACCTGGTGGTGAAATGTATCACACCCATCACAGTTTTACATTCACCGAGAAATTGTTTGTGGGAGTTCCCTGGTTCGAGTCCGGGTCAGGTCATAGTTAATCTCATTTACTGTTTTTGTACCCATTTATTTTTTGCATACAAAAAGTCCTGTATAAATACACCTTGTGAAGAGGGGGAATAATGACCTGGTGGTGAATTGTATCACACCTACTCTGCCTGTGTTGGGGTAATTTGTCGATGATTCATTTGTGGGGGTCCCTGGTTTTAATCTGGATCAGGTCATATCCTTTGTGGTGTTTGTATTTCTTTTTCTCTTATGCATTTTTTGCCTCGGAAAACTCTCGCATAAATACATCTTTGAAAGAGAAGGGATAATGATCTGGTGGTGAAATGAATCACACCCACTTTACTGTGGTGGGAATCCCTGGTTCGAGTCCGGGCCAGGTCATTTGTTATCAATTATTTCAGCTTTTTTCTTGGCCCCCCTCCTATTATTTTCTTTTTGCCTCCAAAAATCAAGTATAAATACACCTTATAAACAGGGATAATATGACCTGGTGGTGAAATGAATCACACCTACTCTGCCTAAGTACAGCCAGTTTGAGGTGTTAGTAAGAATACTTGGTTCGAATCCAGGCCAGGTCATCCTTTTTTGCTTTCAATTCAATCGTTTTTCCCCACGCATTTTTTGCTTTCAAAAACTCTGTATAAATACACCTTCTAGAGAGGGGGAATATGACCTGGTGGTGAAATGTATCACATCCACTCTGCCTCGCTCAACTCTAAGTGCGTTTTGTGGGAATCCCCGGTTCAAATCCGGGCCAGGTCATCCTTTGTTTCTTTGCATGTAATCTTTTTCTCTTTCAGTTTTTGCGACAAAAAGTCAAGTATAAATACACCTACTAAAGAGGGGGAATATGACCTGGTGGTGAAAGGCATCACATCCACATTGCTTAGGATTTGCTGAAATAGTGTATTTGTGAGAGTTCCCGGTTTGAATCTGGGCCAGGTCATCCTTTTTGCTTTCAATTTAATATTTTTTTCCCACTCGGTTTTTACGACAAAAAGTCAGTATAAATGCAACCTATGAGAGAAGATAGGAAGATCTGGTGGTGAAATGAATCACACTCATTCCACTTCCGATTTGAGATGTAGCAGGTTTTATGGGAGTCCCTGGTTCGAGTCCGGGCCAGGTCATTTATCGGTTCCGGTGCTTTTTTTTTTTCTTGTGCTTTTTTTGCCTCTGAAAGCTCTGTATAAATACACCTTGGGAAGAGCAGGGATAATGACCTGGTGGTGAATGGCATCACATCCACATTGCTCAGAATATTGTTGAAATATGTATTTGTGGGAGTCCCTGGTTTGAGTCCGGGCCAGGTCATCCGTTCTTGCTTTCTTGTCCATTTTTCTTTCTCACTCAGTGTTTGCCCCCAAAAACTCTGTATAAATACACCTTCCAAAGGGGGGGAATATGACCTGGTGGTGAAAGGAATCACACCTGCTTTGCCTGCCATGGCTGAAAGAGAAATATTTGTAGGGATCCCCGGTTCAAGTCCGGGCCAGGTCATTCTTGAATTGTTTCCAGTCTTTTTTTTTCCTTCAGTTTTTACGACAAAAAGGCTAGTATAAATACACCTTGAGAAGGGAGGTAGGAAGACCTGGTGGTGAAATGTATCACACCCACCCTGCCTTCGTGCACTTGTATCTTGTAATGGAAGTCCCTGGTTCGAATCTGGGCCAGGTCATCCTTTTTTGCTTTGCATGTAATTTTTTCTCCTTCAGTTTTACGACAAAAAGTCACGTATAAATACACCTCGTGAAGAGGGATAATATGACCTGGCGGTGAAATGAATCATACCCACTCTTACTATGTATCTATTGAGTGATGTATTTGTGGGGGTCCCCGGTTCGAATCCGGGCCAGGTCATTGCATTGCTTTCAATGTAACCTTTTTTCCCTCCACTCATTTTTGCCTTCAAAAAGTCGAGCATAAATACAGTTTATAACAGCAGGGAACAAGACCTGCTGGTGAAAAGCATCACATCCACATTGCTTGGTGTATTATCAAAATAGTGTATATGTGGGGGTTCCTGGTTCAAGTCCAGGCCAGGTCATCCTTTTTTCGCTTTCAATTTAATATTCTTTTTCCCATGCATTTTTGCCTCCGAAGTCTAGTATAAATACACCTTCTAAAGAGGGATAATAAGACCTGGTAGTGAAATGTATCACGCCCACTCTAGTTGCAGTAATGGATGATCGATGATTTGTGGGGGTCCCCAGTTTGAATCTGGGTCAGGTTATGGGCGATGTGAAGGAAATTTTTTTGTCTTCCACTCATTTTACAGCAAGAATGGCTGTATAAATACAGTAGATATAATATGACCTGGTGGTGAAAGGTATCACACCCATTCTTGTTGAAAAACAGCGCCAACAAATCATTTGTGGGAGTCCCCAGTTCGAGGTCATCCTTTTTTGCTTTGCTTTGCATGTAATTTTTTTCCTTCAGTTTTTGTGACAAGAAAGTCAAGTATAAATACACCTTCTAAAGGGAGGCAGAAAGACCTGGTGGTGAAATGAATCACACCCACTCTACTTGCATTTGGCATCAAACAGTTTGCGGGAATCCCTGGTTTGAGTCTGGGCCAGGTCATGCTTTTTTGCTTTCAATTTAATTTAATTTTTCCTTCAGTTTTACGACAAAAATTCTAGTATAAATACACTTTTGAAAGAGAGACAGGAAGACCTGGTGGTAAAAGGCATCACACCCACCCTAGTTGGAGCTAGCATGAATAATTCATTTGTGGGGTTCCTGGTTCAAGTCCAGGTCAGGTCATCCTTTTTTTGCTTTGCTTTACCTTTTTTTTCCTTCAGTTTTTGCGACAAAAAGTCACGTATAAATACACCTTATAAAGAGAGATAACAAGACCTGGTGGTGAAATGTATCACACCCACCCTCGTTGAAACAAACACTGAGCAATGGTTTATTTGTGGGGGTCCCCGGTTCGAGTCCGGGCCAGGTCATCCGTATTTCTTCATACAATTTTTTCCTATCAATTTCTACGTCTCTTTTTACAGCAAAAACTCTCGCATAAATACACCTTCTAAAGAGGGGAGATAAGATCTGGTGGTGAAATGTATCACCCACTTTACCTTTGCAATGATTTACAAATGCATTTGTGGGAATCCCCGGTTTGAGCCCGGGCCAGGTCATCCTTTTTTGCTTTCAATTTAATATTTTTTTCCCATGCATTTTATAACAAAAAGTCACGTATAAATACACCTTGAAAAGGGAGGTAGGAAGACCTGGTGGTGAAATGAATCACATCCACATTGCTTAGAGCTTAGTGAAAGATTGTTTGTGGGAGTCCCTGGTTCGAATCCGGGCCAGGTCATTGCATTGCTGTGTGTGTAAAAAAATTTTCTTTCAGTTTTTACAACAAAAAGTCTAGTATAAATACACCTTGGGAAGAGAAGTAGAAAGACCTGGTGGTGAAATGAATCACACCTGCTTTGCCTGAGGCATAACTATGTAGGACATGTATTTGTGGGAATCCCTGGTTCAAGTCCGGGTCAGGTCATTTGCTTGAAAGTTCTCAACCTTTTTTTTTGTGCTCCCCTGCATTTCTACCTCCACAAAGTCAAATATAAATACACCGAGGTAGGAAGACCTGGTGGTGAAATGTATCACACCGACTCTTAATATGATTGAAGGAGTGCCTTTGTGGGGATCCCCGGTTCGAATCCGGGCCAGGTCATTGTTCCTTCACTTGCTTTAACTTTTTTTTCCCGTGCACTTTTCCCGTGCATTTTTTTCACCTTTCAAAAAGTCTGGTATAAATACACCTTATGAGAAGAGGTAGGAAGACCTGGTGGTGAAATGTATCATGTCCACTTTCCCTGCATTTGGTTGAACTCAGTTGTTGTGGGAGTCTCTGGTTCAAATCCGGGCCAGGTCATCCTTTTTTGCTTTCAATTTAATCTTTTTTTCCTTCAGGTTTTACGACAAAAAGTCTAGTATAAATACACCTTGTTAGAGTGAGGAATATGACCTGGTGGTGAAATGTATCACACCCATTCCTTCTGATTCGAGATGCAGCAGGTTTTATGGGAGTCCCTGGTTCGAATCTGGGTCAGGTTATGCATTTCTGCTTGTTTACTTTTTTTTCACCTCCCACTCATTTTTTGCCTCCAAAAATTCTAGTATAAATACACCTTGTGAGAGGGGGAATGTGACCTGGTGGTGAAATAAATCACACCCATCACAGTTATGTATTTTTCAGAAATTGTTTATGGGAGTCCCTGGTTTGAATCCAGGCTAGGTCATCTTTTTTTCTTCTGTTCAAATTCGATTATTTGACTATTTGACATCTCGGACTCGGACACATACTCAGGACTGCCATATTCCAGTATCCTTTTTTTTTGGTTTATTTTATTTTATTTTCCATAAAGAATCGTGGTCAAGTTGGGTGAAGGTCTAGTATAAATACACCTTGTGAAGAGGGATAGTATGACCTGGTGGTGAAATGCATCACACCTACTCTGCCTAAGCGCAGCTGGTTTAAGGTGTTGGTGGGAGTCCCTGGTTCGAGTCCGGGCCAGGTCATCTTTTTTTCTTTGCATGTAATTTTTTTCCCGTGCATTTTTTTCCCGTGCATTTTTTTCGCCTTTCAAAAATTCTAGTATAAATACACCTCGCAAAACAAGGTAGGAAGACCTGGTGGTGAAATGTATCACACCTATTCCACTTCTGATTTGAGATGTAGCAGATTTTGTGGGAGTCTCCGGTTCGAATCCAGGCCAGGTCATCCCGATTTCTTCATACAATTTTTTCCTATCAATTTTTATGTCTCTTTTTACACCAAAAACTCTCACATAAATACACCTCGTGAAGAGGGGTAATATGACCTGGTGGTGAAATGTATCACACCTGCTTTGCCTGTGGTTTTGCTATGTAGGACATGTATTTGTGGGAGTCTCCGGTTCGAATCCGGGCCAGGTCATCCGGTTCTTCAAACAACTTTTTCCTATCAATTTTTATAGCTCTTTTTACAGCAAAAACTCTGTATAAATACAGCTTGTGAACAGAGGTAGGAAGATCTGGTGGTGAAATGAATCACACCCACTCTTATTATGATTGAAAGATTGTTTGTGGGAGTCCCCAGTTCGAGTCTGGGCCAGGTCATCCTTTTTTGCTTTCAATTTAATCTTTTTTTTCCTTCAGTTTTTACGACAAAAAGCCTAGTATAAATACACCTTTGAAAAGGAAGTAGGCAGATCTGGTGGTGTAGAGGTATCACACCCATTCCACTTCCGATTTGAGATGTAGCAGGTTTTATGGGAGTCCCTGGTTCGAATCCGGGTCAGGTCATTATGTAATACTGTATTGCTTTTGGCATGTATTTTTTTTCCTTCAGTTTTTGCGACAAGAGGTCTAGTATAAATACATCTTGTTAAGGTATGGGTAATGACCTGGTGGTGAAATGTATCACACCCACTCTTACTATGTATCTATTGAGTGATGTATTTGTGGGGGTCCCCGGTTCGAATTCGGGCTAGGTCATCTTTGGGTCTGTTCCAAATTCTTTTTTTTTGATTTAACCTTGATTTTCCTTTCCACACGCAAGGTGTTCCGCGTTTGATTCGGACTGGGTATGCAACATACAAGCCTCCCAACACCCTTATTCCTGTCCCATTAAAACACAGTCTAGAGCCCAGACCCACTCACTGCAATTGTGATTGTGATTGCACGAATTTTCGGAGCAGTTGAGTCGCCGACTCTCTCAATCAAATCTGAATACAAAGTGCATCATCTCCGAGAATAACGCTGGTGCTAGCATAAAAGGGCACAAAGGACGCAATCACAATCACAGATAACGAGACTGAATAGGAACGAGATCTCCGTCGTCGTCACAGATAACGAGACAGGATAGGAAGGAGATCTCCGTCGCCCGCGTCCGAGTCACCGGTTTCGTGTTTAAATTTTTTGATTCAGTGGTTTTTGATTCGCCCCTTGGTGTCTTGGCACAGCCGCAGATACGCGTTGACGAATGGGGAGAGACGGCGTTATGGATTTGGGTCCGCGTTGCCGAGCGTGTAGTGGACATAATGAAAGGATTTCTGATGGGGTGTGATGGGATTCTCGGATTCTATGCTGTTGTTCTTGGCTCCCACTCCCATACAGCATCCTCTTTGACATGACTGTCAAAGTGGTTATCGTCCGATGTGTTTTTTCGCCGGTCACGGAGTACGATAGAGGACAGCCGAGCAGGGAACAGCTGGCAGGCAAGGCAGACAGGATGGGTGCCCTTGATAGGGACGAACGGAGGCTATTCTGGGATATGGGTTTACGTCGCCGGCCGGTGGCACTGGGCTGGCGGCGGTTGAAAGAGGAACAGGAATCGAATCTAGATGAAGGTTCTTTGAAGGGACTTATATTATAGCTCGCCTCTGGTCGTGCTTCGTGCTAGGTCTTCGTCTGTCTGTCTCGCTGCGTCGACTTGTCCTTTCTTTTGTCGACCCAAGACTGTCCTTGTGAACCATGTCCCGCCCGCCCCGCTCTCGTTCCTCCCGCCCAACCCGCCCTTTGCGTCCAACAACGCAAACGGCAGCGGCAGCGACAACTCCGAGCCGCCCTCCCCGACCGCCGGCACCCACTCCCGCGGCCACTCCCCGCCCGTCACCCCGCGCTCGCTCTCCTTCCTCACTCCCCCGTCACCCGCGACGGCGGCCCCAACCCCTTCTTCGCCGCTTCCTCCTCCTCCACCTCTATGCCAGGCACCCCGCCCAACGGCCCCGCCCAGCCGCCGCAGAACCCCTTCTCCCCGCCCGCCTCCGTGCGCTCCTTCAGCGCCTCCTTCTCCTCCCCGCCCCCGCTCGGCTCGCCCCCGCTCCCCGCCGACTCGCCCTCGGGACACCACAACAACGCGAGCGTGGGCAGCACGGGGTACCCCTTCCCCAGCCCAGGCAGCACGCGCGCGTCCTCCCTCGTCGACATGCCGCGCGCCTTCTCCACGTACTCCTTCGGCGGCGGCGGCGACCGCGGCAGCTTCAGCCGACCCAGCACGAGTGGTTCGCTGCGTCCCGGCTCTGCGTCTACTGGGATCCACCCCGCCAGCTCGCCCCTGGGCAACGCCACCGGCACCGACGGGAGGCCGGCGAAGCGGGAGGCGTTCGCGTCCCCGCCTGCACGGCCGTTGACGATCTACGCTGCGCCGTCGACGGCGAGGCTGAGGAGGGAGAGGCCGAAGAGCACGGCGATATTGGTGCCGAGTGCGTTGGTTTATGAGGATGGTATGTCTTGTCTTCTTCCTTCCTTTTCTTCGTTATATTTCACATATGGCTTCGCTCTGTCTTTTGGTGAAAAAAAAAAATGACACACATCTACAGGAGACCCAAAACGCCCCAAAGTAACCGCCAGCACGCGCCCCACACTCACCGGCACGCTCTCCAAGCCCTGGGTCGGCATGCGCGACCCCCATTCACGGTTCGCGTATTGGATCACGTATGGGGTCGTTTTGCTTGGTGCGTTTGCGGTTTTTTTTCTTCTTTATATTTTTTCTTCTTGATGTGCTGTACGGAACTGGGAGCTGACGATAATTTGGTGGACAGGCATCGCCGCGGGCGCGGCGCGCGCGTACCTCGGGTGGACGGGCGTGTTGATTTTGCAGGTGGGTGTCTTTGTCTTTTTTTTTGGCTTTATTCCTTGCTTTTCTTCTATTGTGCTACGCTACGCATCGTCCTTGTTCTTCCTGCCTTCGTGCTATTCGTGGCGCTGGCGCGGACGGGGGCGTGGGCGTGGGCGACTTGCACCTGGATGTGGACGTGGGCGCGACACGTCGGACGTGCGGGTCATATGGGCTGCCGCCGAGTCGTGCTTGTGCGAGACGTCGTCCTTCGTCCTTCTGCTGCCCGCCGCTCTCTTCTCTCCCCCCTCTCGCCTCCCCCCTCTCGTCGCCTCTTCTCCCTTCTCCCTCTCCCTCTCTCTTCCCGCTCCCCTCCTTCCCCTTCCCTCCCCCTCCTTCCCTTCTGTCCCCCCTTCTCCCTCTTCCCCACCCTCATCTCTCCTTCCCCTTCTTTGCCCCCTCCTCTTCCTCCTAAAACCGTATGCTCACTTCGTTCGCAGGACAACCTCTGCCCCGTCCTCCTCGAAGACTTCTCCAACACCGACACCGCGTCTCTCTTCGGCTCTGGCGTCGCGGGCGAGGGCGGCAAGTTCTTTCGGGAGGTGGATGCGAGTGGGTTTGGGTGCGTTGTTTTTTTTACTCTTCCCTCCTCTCTCCTCCCCCCTCCCCCTCCCTCCCCCCCTCTTCTCGCCCCTCATTCGGTCGGTGCTGACGCCCCTCCCTCCCAGAAACGGCGAATTCGAAATGACCACCCCCTTCGACACCAACTCCTTCGTGCACAACGGCCAGCTGTACCTCGTCCCCACGCTCACGAGCGATATGCTACCGATAGGGAATATTATGGGTGCGTTTCTTCTCCTCGCAGTTTTCCCCTCCTTTCCTTTTCCCGCTCCCCCTCCCTCTCCCTCGTCATACGCGCGTTCCCGCTTCCCTCCGCTCCTCGTCCCCAAAACGTCGCGCCCCCCCACCCCACTCGATATCACATAAACTTGGAGTGGAGTGGAGCGTGACGGGGGAGAAGGCGCTCCCCGGGCTCACTGTGGGCAAGCGTCGTCCACCTCGACTGACGCTTGCCGCGCATGGGAGACCCCTCCTTTCGTCTCTCTCCTCCTTTCCTTCCCTCCTTCCCTCCTTTCCCTCCTTCCCTCCTTCCCCCTCTTTTCCTCTCCCTTTTCACCCCTCCTTATCACTCACTACCCCCGAATTCGCTCGCTAACGCTCACCCACAGACGGCGCCGTCTACAACCTCACCGGCTGCACGTACAACATCACGCACTCGTCCGGGTACACCACCTCCGGGCACGGCGCGGCGGGGATCAACACGACGGAGGGCGAGGTGCCGGGGGGTGGGGGGATCGGTGCGTTTGTTTTCTTGAATTTCTGTTTATTCCTTGGGGTGGCTTTGACTTCGTCTTCGCCTGCTTGTTTGGGGGTGGGCGACGTGTCTCTGAGCGGTTCGCGATGACGGGCGGGGTTGTCGACGAAGCGACGGCGCGGGGTCGGGGCGGCACCCCGCGTCGTGAGCGAGCCCGGACGAAGAACGCGTCTTCGTGCTTCTTGCTCTCCCCGCCTTCCCTCCCTTTCTCCTCACCTTTACTTTCACTTCTACCTCGTCCTCGCGCACGCCCGCTAACCCCATCCCCTCCCCACAGCCCCCGACGCCCCGCTCGACCTGCCCGCCTACCTCGCCGCGTGCTCCGTCATCTCGAACGCGACGGAGGGCAAGATCTTCCCGCCCGTGATGAGTGCACGGATTAGTACGAGGAAGACTGCGAGTGTGAAGTGAGTTTTCGTTTGCTCTCGCTACTCCTACGCTCGCTACCACTCCGCTCGCTATTCCCGCTACCGCTACGCTCGCTATTTCCACTACCGCTACGCTCGCGCTCACTAGACCCGCTCGCTGACGCTCGCCCCCACAGATTCGGCCGCGTCGAAGTCGTCGCAAAGCTGCCCACGGGCGACTGGCTCTGGCCCGCGATCTGGATGTTGCCCGTCGACAGTGTGTACGGGGGGTGGCCGCTGAGCGGAGAGATCGACATCATGGAGGCGCGCGGGAACGGGCCGAGCTACCCGAAGCAGGGCATCAACTACGTGCGCTCGTCGCTCAACTGGGGCCCCGCGACGTTCCTCAACGCGGTCGCGAAGACGTACGGGTGGTGGACCACCCGCCGCGGGCGGTACGACGAGGGGTTCCATACGTATGCGTTGGAGTGGAATGAGGAGTTCATGTGCGTTTTTTTCCTCTTCCTTCGTTGTCTTTCGTCGTGCAGGGACAATCGCTGACGCGCCGACCCACAGGCGGATGTACGTCGACTCGCGGCTGACGCACATGTTCGAGCTCAAGCTCAAAAAGTCGTTCTGGGAGCTCGGCGACTTCCCCACGGTCGTGCAGAACGGGAGCGAGAGCGTCGTGCTGGAGAACCCGTGGGTGAACGGGACGAAGGCGGCGCCGTTTGATCAACGTGAGTCTCTACTCGCTATCCACTTGTTCGATGCGGATGGATACTGACGAGTTTGCGTCGTTTAGCGTTCTACCTGATCATGAACGTCGCGGTCGGCGGGACGAACGGGTGGTTCCCCGATGGGCCGGAGAAGCCGTGGCTCGATGGGTCAGGGAGTGAGTAGTCCATTCTCCCTCCTCGCGAATGAAGTTGGTTGTACGATGCTGACGACGCGCGCTTCCGCTTAGCTGCCCCGCTCGACTTCCTGCGCGCACAGAACCAGTGGTACCCGACGTGGCCGCAGG